CCCACCCCGCCCCGCGACCCGCGACGGGGCGGCGAACCTCGCCCCGCCCCGCCCCACCCCACCAACCCGTCGGGGCAGATTTTTTTCGCCCCATTTGGGGCGGGGCAGCTCCGGAGCGGGTTTTTTTGCCATCACTATTCATCCACTCATCTCCAATCCAATTACGCAATTTATCATTCGCAATGTTTATGACATAAAATACCCTCTTTACCGTAACAGTAGCAATTAGAAAAATTAGTGCCAAGTCAAAAGCTTGTAAACTAACGGATATGCTCTACTCTTATTTGTCAAAACTAACTTCCGTGCAAGAGCGCCGGGGTCATTGTAATTCAAGATTGGAGTTCTTAATCCAAGATTGGTGGAAAGTTGTGCAACATCGGAATTGTCTCTATTTGACATCTTATCAACATTTTTCACATTCTCAAGAGATTTATAAAATCTTTCCTCGAATGTTTCAACTATGAAATAAACAAGTGTTAATTTAAGACCTACCATATCATATATTCATATTCACAAATTCACCAACAATAGAACTTTCTAGAAATTATTTGCATTTTCAAAAACAAATTTGCATATTCAGAATTGGAATGTAATAAATCACAGAGAAACAAAACTCTGAACCACACCATCAAATCCTTTTATAGTTCATCTCACAAAACAATCCGAACCTACATATTCATATAATATAAATGAAATTACAAAAAAATATCCGGTTATTACTTGTTTCAATTGACACCCATGGCTTCACTACTTCAATTTCATGAATTTGGGTGTTTTGGTGGAAATTGGGGATTTCAGGTTTGGGTGGGGTTTGTAGTAAGGAAGGATTTGTAGACGGATCTTATAAGATTGGGCTAATTATTTGCCCCATTTGAATTTATTTATTTATTTTTTATTGCTTAAGTGGCTGCTGACTTAAATTCTTAAATTAGGTGGTTCAAAGTTCAATGCAAGACGATTGTACTTTAGGTCAATTAAAATAAAAGAAATATTTATTTATGAAATTCAGTGTTACTGAAGTAACTAAATTTACACTGTTTACCTACCATTCGACATAAAGAATATTAGTTAGCCAATGGCAGATACGTGTAATTACTGTGGAGGACCCACAATTTATGTTTCTTTCAATATGTGCTCATGATTATTCCCGGTCGGAGGAGGGGCCGCCGAGGGCCGCACAGTTTGTTCCTAATCCCAAAGGACAAAACCAGCATTCGCTTTCTAACAAAAGTAGAAGAATATAAGTAGGGTCGGTGTCGGCATTGGGGGCTGGGCTTCGGGGTCGGGCCATTGAAGCTGCCATTACGGTACGTTTTCTTATGTCGAACGAGGTGAACTTGTACTATTAGATCTTGATCAATCCTCTCCACCTGCGATGTCTGGTTTTGTCCCCATGAGTTTGTTTTTATTTTACTTTCTTTTTTATTCTCCTTTTTGAGGAAAAGTGAGTTCTATATGGAAACTCTATTAAACCACATGTAATGTCACATAACCAAAATTATGACTTTTGTAAAACACTTGTTCGAGGTAACCGACAGAAATGGAAGAATAGCATTTGAGTGTTTCAAGTTCCGATGCAATATCCAAACCGATTGAAGTGACAAGGGTAGTATCGGACTCTCGACCCCTATTCAAAAGTGTTCATTATACCGATTTTAGGTATTCAAAAATTATACAACTCTTGAAATCTTCTATTCGAGGTCGACTCTATTCTAGCCTTACTACTCAAATGTTGATTAGGTAGCTCATATTCTACGTATATGGGGACTACTTGAAGGAGCGGAGTGGATGGATCGGTAGAGGTGAGATTATTTGTATGGGGTGGGCTCCAAATAAATAGTGCTTGGAGTGATAAAAAGGTTTGATTCACTTTTCATGTTGGCTATAACTTTTTTAAAAAGTGATTGTATTTTCCTACGTCAACATGAGTCAAATTCATTCGCTATCCAATAGCATCCTATGGAGTGATAGTTTTATGCAGAATTATTCGTTTTCCATATAAAGATAAAGATGATATTTTTGTGCAGAACTATTTTTGCTGAACTAGCAATAAAGAGCACACAACACATATATAGTATGATGCCAATATATAGACTACGAAGTCATCAACAAAAAAAGTAACCATTCGAGATCGAAACTTGATAGTATTTAAGTAGATTATAGATGTATCAGAAAGGAAGGAAACTGCTGCTGACTGGTTGGCTAATAAGTCGTTTAAGGGCTTATGTAACGACTAACGCGATTACTATTCCCAAGTTCATGCTCTCGAAAGTTTCTTCAAACATAGGTCTGTTTTCCCTTCTTTCGTGTTCATTTTTCAAGCGACAGACGAGGAATGGTAAAGAAAAGAATTGAACCAGGCGGGATAGAAAATTACAATCATAAAGCATGAATTGTACACAAAAGTTTAGAATCTTGCAAAGAACATAAGAAATTCCAAAGTATAAATTTGCAATATATAATGCAGCATTCCAAAATATGAGTTATTCATAGTTATGGGGGGTGGGTTTTGATTGATGATTTCCGCAGAGAAAACAACTTGAAGGGATTTTCCCAGCTCGAAACAGATCTTCTCCGTCCACAACAAGTCTCTGTCAAATAAAGCCAAAGGATATAGAATTAGAATAGAGTTAGCTCTCAAATTAAGGATCTGCATTAGTTAAATGTCAGTTGCAAAAACAGTTCTACATAAAAATATCATCTTTTTATGGATTTCTTAGAGTCATCAGCACAACTTAGCTCTATTATTTCGCTAGAGCAAAATTAGATTTATAATTCAATATAGAACACTAAATTGCAGAGATTGGAACTATAAACGCCTCTCAAAGTTACCAATAAATAAAAATCTTTCCTTTGTCTTCAAACAACAATCTTAACTCTAATCCTGCCAACATGCTCACCCACATACGCTAAACTACAAGATCTTCATCCTATTCTCTGTCGAAGACGACTTTTGATGAGGCAGATCAACGTCTAGGGCTTTCGTGAAGGGGAGATGGGACGTCTAAAGCTTGAGCACGGACACTTATTCATCATATCAAGAAAGTGAACATAAAACATGAGTGGCATTAAGCCCAATCTTCCAGTGAAAGTCAAAATAACCAACAAATGCCTATCGAGACATTGTGAAGGTATGTCCAACTATTTTAATAAACCAAAATCCGTTCTCACAGCATATAAAATTTCTAGAATTTGCTTCACAAATTCTTGTCCTGGTACATACTAAACAAACTATAGTTATTAAGACGAGTCCGGGACATCTATCAGTGAAAAAAGTAAACTCCTCCATTTAGCAATTGAGATCTTTCAATCCTGCTAAAGCATTCATGCCTAACAAATTAATCACCTCCAACATAGAGCATTAAACTTAAATTTCAATATGAGCAAGAGGTGGAAAAGAGCCACTTTTGAAACTTAGCTGCATGTGTGCAACTGGTTCTAGAGAACAAGAAGAGATTCATTTGTCAGATATATAATTTATTTTGATTAGAAGAGCGTTAAGAAAAATCACATAATTCAGAGACAAAAATTACCCCAATAGAATAAACAAATCATTTTTCAACGTGAAGAAGTTGAAGATATAACATAGCAACTATACTGTGAAGCTAAATTTGGATCTCACTAGACTACAAGGAAAAGAGGAATCGACAAACCAAACTGGTAGACTCATAGATTTAAAATCAGTCAACAATGTATTGAATACATGGAAGATTAGAGAAACTAATTCAAAAATTAGTACCCATAAACCCTTTATATTTTCTCCCACTTTTTCCTTTTGACAGTGGGTAGAGATTTTCCTAACTTCCTGGTACACAACATTTTCTTCCTTTCCTTTTCTTTGGTAGTGATACTACCAACAAGTTAAGAAAACTACTAGCATAGTTGTCCTTTTAGTAAAAAATAATTTCACAAACAAAACCTACAAACTGATAAATTATTAATTTTGATTTATTTCTTCCTCTTTCTACATCCTGCCAGGCTCATATTGCATTGTTAGAATTGTGAAGATGATTCGTGAACATTGGTACAACACGTAATCACCTACTGATGAATCTTGAAGAATAAACTTGAATTTTGAAATAGATTATGAATGTTGGCTCACAAGAATTATATACCATTTATTCGAAGAGAACAACTACGAGCCCTATAGGATTCATGCACACACATTAAGTTCGATGCACCTACAAGTATTAATAGGAGTAAGGAAAATGTATGAAAAAGAGTGAAACAAGCAAGAAGCTATTGTAAGCGAAGAAAAAAAGAGTAAAGAAACACAATGTTCAAGAGTAAACATTTTCTCTTATAATTCTTGCAAGTTTGAGTGCTTGTTTAAATTGTGATTCCACAATGCTTCTAACAAAGTGGTATCAAAGTTTTGATGAGGAATTGTCAGAGATGACATCAAACATGTTGCGGCCACAAATTCTTTAATTAAATAGGAAGAATTACAGCCAATGGAGTCGAAACAATAAAGGTGTTACAACATTCCCAAGACTTGTGGGAAATTGTAGAAAATGGGTTTCCAGAACCATAGACAAAACACAATTTCTTCAGGAGAATTGAATGAAATGAGAATTTAAAACCATGAGGCATTAGCTTTTATATATTGACCAATAAATCTAGATATTGTTGAGAAAAAATGTCAGATGCTATGATGATAAAATTTAAACCCGCATGGGATATATAAGAGATCACTTCCTACGAAGTGGAGATCCAGATGACGCTCGACGAGCAGCTAGTTGCTTTAAAATTGAAACGATAACAATTTGAAATTGAAAACGGAAGAGCAAAACATAGTTTTAAGAAAAAGAGAGGAGGATGAAATTGATCACTTGGAATGGAAGGTTGGTGAGAGCTAAACAACATGGAGGAAAAACTGTAAAAATTGGAGTAGATGTTGACAAAACAAAGAGGTGTTCAAGGATAAATTGAGAGATCCGAGCGAAGTTTTTAGTCATGAAGGAAAAATAAAGCTCCATAAAGGAGAAGAAGAATTTAAAATTATTAGAGGAACAAGTTTTAACAGAGTTTCCAAAGATGAACTTGAGAAGACCATGACTGAAATTATTAGTAGCGAATCGCAGGTTCTTAAAGAGGCTAAATAGTTTAGAAATACTAAGACTGAGAGGATGGAAAATCTTCATTTTTTAGAAATAAATTTGAGAAAGTAGAGAGACAGGTGCATTCAATAAAAGGATTTGCTGTTCGACGATATTAAATATTTGGAATAGGATAGAAAAAAAAACTCGAGGAAGACTTGAATCCCCAAAAGTGAAGACATTTGAGCTTACTAGAAAATTGCAACATATCTAAGTACGAAAACAGATGCTTCGAAAAGTGGAATTAATCCTTGAAGGAAAAAGGAGACGAAAGATAAACTTGCTATTAAGGGTGTGTTTGTTGGATATTATTTTGGAAGAATGTATTTTGGAATAGTAGATTGATGGAGAATATGTGGTTGAAAAAGAAGGACAAGTTATTGATGTGATGAAAAATATTATTTTAATGAAGAATGTGTGGTTTAAAATAAATAGAAGAATGAGAATGAAAATTTTAATGGGTACCAAACAAGGGCTAAGCTTGAGAAATTTTTGCTGTGAGAAGGGGTGCATTTATGAAGCAAAGAGACAAAGAACATAGTAACATTAATTACTTGAAAGCATTTGTATGGACAACATAGAAGAAATTGACTATCAAGAAATTCTCACTCCAAAATCTCATTTGGAGAGAGTTCAATTTGTTAGGTTTTGAAGTTGTTGACAATCTTTTGAAAAAATTATTGTTGTAAAATAGTTTTTAAAAGTCAAAGGGTCGAGTAGTAAGTTAGAAGTCTTAGGGTTCGAGTTTGGAACAAAGGAGTAAACGTCGTCGTAGTTTCACTAACCTATTACCCAACAGTTGCTCGAGCTGTAAAAATAGAAGTTACGTCGCTTGTCTGTCACCTGGACTTTACTTGAGTGAGACACCGTCGCTCATTTGTTGCTGAGCTCTCGCTCGAACGACAGTGTTTTCCAAAAAAACCTAATTTGCGTTTTTAAGGCTTTTATTTGGCCCAACTACCCAGAACTTCTTTACAATATATATGGACGCCACTCATACGAAACTTATAGGTTGAACATTGATAGAAACATTGTTTTGCATCCTCCATATCATTATTATATTTCAACCATCATTTTGTTTTGATCATTGTTTTGAAAAACATCATCCTCATTTAAACCAAACACCAAAACATACTTTCACAATATCAGCCAAGGTTCTGAAGATCAAGGAAGGTGATCGGAGTTTCTGGTCCTTGGAGAACAAGTTGGCCACGTTAATCCACAGGAGATACATGAATTCAGAAGATCGGGAGTTATTGCAAGAACACACAATCTAGGAGGGCTTTGATGATTACAGTGAGGAGATCAGAAAGTACTAGAGTTAGCCGAGTCTGATAGTAGTGTAAGTTGAGTCGTTTATAGTGGATTGTTATTGGCTTGTACTTGAAGTTTTTATCCAGTTACAAGTTTTCTCCTTTATCAATTTTCTATTGTTATTTATTTTTCAAGAATTTATTGGCTATAGAAATTCAACATAGGATAGTTGTGCATGTGAATTCATATGGATTAATTAATAATTGTGCTTTTTTGCAATTATTAATTGGTAAAATTAAATTCCTCATAAATACCTATTCACCCCCCCCCCCCATCTAGGTGTTAATTGAGTCGAATCTCGTTATTTCACAATTTATTAATGCAATGCCTACTTAAAGGAATTGAGAAGTTCATCAAATGCATCATGCATGTGAAGCCAACATCTAGAGAGAGGTTCATTGTTTCAAAGTCTAGTTTAACTGGGACAATCGGAAATTAACATGGGCTTGTGAACTCTTGAAGAAGATTCGTGAATATTGGTGCAAAACATAATCACCAACCAATATACCTTGAACAAGAAACTTGATTCTTGAAATAGATTAATGAATGTTGGTATACAATAATTATTTACCTTTGAATCTAAGAGAATGATCATGGTTTAGGACTCATGCACACACATTAGATGCAGTACACCTACTTTAAGTACAAATAGGAGTAAGAAAAATTTATGAAAAAGAGTGAAACAATTGCAAGAAGAAATTGTTCACAGACAACGAAGGAAACACATTGTTAAAAAGTAATTAACTTTTTCTCTAGTAGCATTCTTCTGAGTTTGAGTGCTTGATTCAAAGCTCAAGTCCACAATACTTCTCACACACACTACTTGAGAACCTCTTTAGGTTTTGTATGCCTCAAGTAATCATCATTTCTTTTATTTTATTTTCTATAACACCATCTCTAATTGTTGATGTATATGAACATTTTCGTTTTATCGGTTTATCTTATGGACAATCTTTATGTTGGGTATTTGATACCAAAATATCCCGGGGCAATGATGAAAACTGAGTCGGATTTAATTCAATAGGCCTAGTTCCAATTATTGAATATGGATAAACCAAGGTAACAACTGGTGGTTCATGGAACCGAAACGGACCTTGAATCCCACAAGAGGTAATAAAGGGCAAATAGGACTCCACCCACTTATTTACTTGCCCCGGTTCGTGATGTAAGTAAGCCTTTATATTAGGCTCTCTCCACTCTCCTCACATGACGCTCGCGTCTCTCTTTCTTGCTCTCTGACCGTGCGCTTCTTGTACCACTCTTTCAGCCTTCTCCTCTGCTCCTTGTCGGCGTGGGTCACCGGTGACCTAACCCTGTGGTTGAGCCGTTGTATCCCCCTTTTCTGCCACTACTTTCGGCAACCTTGCTGTTGTCGGTTTTGTCTAGTTCTGCGTGACTCTTCTGTGGCGATTTCTTGATGTTTGGTGGGATTCTTTGGGCCTACTTGGTTGTGGAGACACCTTGGTTGTTCTAAGCCCTGATTGATCAATCCATCATCAAAGCTTGCATTGTGAAGGGGAGTTTGATTCTTGCAATTCATTTGTGTTATCTCAATTTCCATATTATTGTATTGATATTTAAGTATTTAACTAAGTGTTTTACTATCTATACTTGCTAGGGATTGCATTTTCACTACACTTTATCATTAAATCCAATCACAAGCACAAGTTTGCAATGTATTTCTTCTCCAACTTGCTTTAAGCTTGTGACTTATGTTCTCTTAAAGTCGTAGTGCACAATCTTTTCTATATGTAACCCATACATAAAACTTTTCTGCTAAACATGGATTGAAATAGTAAATATAATGAAAGATTCTGTTTACTGAATGAATGAACAAATGTCAAATAATGAACATATACTTACTAAAAATGGATAGAAGAATTGGAAGATGACACATTTTTTAGCAGGGAAATGCATTATGGAGCAATATTTTGAATATTACTCTTATGTTATTTACAGTTTTACAGTTAAGGAATGCATGAGAGGCCCCTCAAAACCGTAAGGGAATTCCTCACTTGTTCTTAAAATGAAAAGGACACCAGCTGCATATCAATAATTGTTTCTTTTACAACAGAACATCCTCATTCATTTGAATTAGACAAATGAATTACGACAATTTAGATAATTAATAAAAGGAGAGGTTATTAAGAAATATTTATTTATTTAGCAATGCTTTAGTAACGTTGGTATTATTAAAGAAACTACTTAATTTGTTTTAGGTAGATGCTATGTAATGTTGCTTTGTTTCCTTTTTGGGTAGATTTTACCGGTTTGGTTGTGGAACTTTTTGGGATATAATTGAAACATGTTGCATTCGGTTTTGGATTGTTGAGTAGATGTGTTAAACTCTGTGAACAAATTAAGAGGCTTCAAAGAACAAAAGGGACGTGGTTGGATCGATCCTAGTCCTCACACGAGGCAGATTCAAGTTGATTATGTTAATAGTGAGACAAATAGGCAAATTCTTAAGCAAATACAATCCTATTCTACGTGGGATTGTACAACTAATTCCAAGGATACCAAAAATTATACGAAGTCATTGCATAACAATATGCATTCGACATGTTTCATACTTCAAAGTAGGTGAATCATAATGACAAATATGATTATTAAAAGAGATTACTAAAACTTTAGGATTAATTGTATATTTCTTCATTATTATTAGTGCAATAAAATCTCCTAATTCATCGGTCATATTTTCTTGTCTTCTTTTGTTTGTGATCAAATAATTCATTATTGTATCATATAACTTCAACATCTCAATCTGGCGATTAATTTTATATCAAGTAGTATTGAACGATACATGATCCTTGAATTCTTAACAATTGGTATCAGAGATTTTGAACATAATTAACACAACAAGTGGTATTAGAGCGATTCTGATATCTTGTTTGTTTCACAACAAAAAACAAGTAGAAGAAGAAGAATGCATGCCATTGTTAAAGATGATCGTTTCAAGCTGTAAAATATTAATTTTATTTTTACATGAATGAAGCAAAGCATTGTGACAAAAAATGAATAATTGAGATGTCCCACAAAATCTGATGCACACTGGAAGCAATCTAGTAAAGATGCAAAGGACAAATTTAATATGATAATACAAATTTCTAAAATGCGATCTTATGCACTAAAATTATTGCAATTAGTGGGGGACTGATGTTAATGCGTTTTTCAATAACAGAAAATTAAAATATTTAAATAAGCATTCATTTTATTTCGTACATCTGAGAAATTTTACAATGATTAGAGGAGGATTACATATCGAAAATGAAAACCCACAAAAAGGAGGCCTCCATGGGAATAAAATACTACAAGTCGATTAATTAATAAAAAGTTTAAAGTAAAGTTTTAATTAAATATTTGTCAATATATATATATATATATAGACAAACAGACACACATGCAAATGTGTTTCCTACCTTAAGCCCAAATGATATTCTACAACGATCTTGCTTAATGAGAATGTTCATGTTTATGTTAAAATATAAAATGACAATCTACGTGGGGGCTAAAGATCTGTCAAGAATCCCAAAAGATGACCCATAAAACTAGAAGTTGACATGCAATAGAGTACTAAATTGGGATCATCTTACTGCAGACAATTGTTTAATGATGGGAAACATGAAAAATGAGCACAAGATTCTACCTGATGTCAGTAGAAAATCCGTCGTTTTCTTGGGGGTAAAAGATCATCACTGTTTACCATACTTGAAATTAACTTACAATAACATTTTCTAAGAATAAATTTTGGATCATATTGTGATAGATTTGTCTGAGTTTATGTTCAAACTTGGAAAATGATGCTGCACAGTTAAGCTTTTGTTTGTCATGCATTTATTTAAGGGTTCGTAATTCTACCTGTGTCCCCATTAGGATGAAGAAATAGGGGAACGCTAGGTTGATAGCCAATGTGTAACCATCATCATGTTCATGACATGATTCCTAGTAATTTTGTTGGGGACGAGATAAGAATAGAGTGGCCCAAAAGAATTCATATAACAGATTTGTTTTACCTTTGATTGTATGCATTACTTCTAGGGTTTACACTGAAGTAGAAGTATATATTTTTCAGAAAGTAAGCTGTTCAATTCTTTATTTATAGAATAATGAGCTCTTTTTTGATTTTCTGTGCAACTTATGGGCACTTTTTGTAATTTTGATTTCTTTCATCAGTTATAAGTTTTGAAATGTTCTTCAAGGATTCACTCATCATCAGCAACAATATGTACATGATCACAGATGAATAAAAGAAAAGGGTATGCATGTATATTGATTCTCCAATGTGATTGGGATCCAATTGGAATTAGGAAAGAAGAACAAAGTACAAGTAATTCAAGCAGTACTATATAAGCACGAGAGTATTCTGAAGATAGAAATTAATTACCAATCTTTGATCCATAGATTGAATCAAGAAAATGGCATGGATGAACTGGAATCATCATCAGGTTTGCCTGGGCTAGCCTTCTTCTTCTTCTTCTTGTAAGGGATTCCTCTTGCCTTAGCTTGACACTCCTTTACTTCCCTCAGATAAACCCTTATTGCACCACTAGCAAATGGATTAGTTTCCTGTGATCCACCGTTCTCCTCATAGGCAGCGCGTAGTCTTCCAATTAGTGCATCGAGGCTGCCCCAAGCCTGCCTTAGTGGGCAAGTACACGGCGCTGGTGGCTCCGGCTGCCCGAAAAAGATGCAGCCCTGCAAATGAACTTTAGTCTTGCCAAACTGATCAAGATATCTAAGAAATTCAAGTACATGACCGCTATTGCAATGAGGGAGTGGAACTGGTGGCCTCTGGTTCTTCAAGAACTGCCCAAAAGTGTTCCAATCCCTTCTTTTCTGAGATTCATAGCGGCTGGGAGTGGTGGATAGCGGCGAATCACCACCGGCGCCGCCACCGGGGGATCTTGATGACCCCTCTGTCAAATCTTTCCCTCTCTCCATAGTTAATCAAACACCATCAATTTTTTTCTTCCTTTGTTCCTATATAAGGTGAAACCTGCAGTTGATGGTTAAATGAATAGTGTGGAGAAAAATGGGGGGTGGGGGTGGGGTAGGGGAGATGAAGTTCACATCAGAGACCCTATTGAGTTGACATGCATTGGGCCATAACAAGTTGCTTTCTCAGTATTTTTGGCTTTTTTTTTTTTTTCCATTAACCATACGTTTAGTCAGTAAGGTTACAATTATTGAGCATGGTGTCCTAATTATCTCCCCCACTAAATGTACCATACTGTCCTAATTATTACACACTTGTCAAATATAATCTTCATCAGTATTATCTTCAGATCAATTATTGCCAATAATCGCTTAGCGGTAATACATTTGGGATTATTTAGTATATCAATGTGAATGCACAAGTATATATTTAAAGAACTTATCATTCTTAAGAGTGACACGCTTGAAAGAAAGTGTAGAGACCGGTCTTCAAATTTGTTGTAATTAAGTCTAAAACCTATTTTTTTTTGGCGAACTTATTCCAGATTATACTGTTGGACGAATATGATTAATGGGTTCGACATGTGGTTCTTGTAATTAACAGAAAAAATAATAATTTAGACTATAAGTTTAACATAAAATTCTAAACGGGTATATATATTTCTAGGCATAATTCAAATGGATACCAGATGAAAAAAAATAATTGAATTGTTCATCTGATATACATATTTATTTTGAGTTGCGACTTTATTGGACGCTCGAGTAGTGAAGTAATTCACGAGCTAGCTTCATTTGCCGATTTAGTAGAGGAATCGATGGTTGTATGCCGGTTTTTAGTTTTTCCGTTTTTTGGCGATATTGCAAAAGTGAAATTTCATTTGTTGTTAAAAAAATTATATATATGTACACCTGATATTTCCTATGTCTTTTCGTCATGGCTGTCGTTTTCTGATGGAACTGGAATATTGTTTATAGTCCCTTGAATATTATGGGATCTGAGAAAGTTTGACATAACATTTGGTAGCTGTGTGTCTCCAGAATTCAAGACTCATGTCAGGTTTCTGGAAGCAGGATTGGGTATTTTGGTTTACTCTTGAAAGTTCTATATATTTAATGGAATTAAGAGAATTCTTGAAGTGAATTCACAGCCGCCTCCGACAAAGAAAAAGAATTTAATCTACATATACATTGAATAAATATTGATATAAAAACAAGTATATTCAATTTTTAATGCGCTTGTTTGGGCGCTATTTATGGCCAAAATAATGCATTTTTCTGTTACATTTAATAGGCCATAGTGTACTCACCTAGCCGACCGGAATGTGTAGAATAATTTTTTCCCTTCCTTTTTTACCCATTTTTTTGTTGTTTGTGATAAATGATGTTTCAATTGTGCAGCCTAGCAACTGCTGTGTATACGACCGATGGAGACGAGGGCAAAAATGGAAATATTGTGTACAAAAAGTCTGAAATTATACAGTAACTTCTGCTGTCTTTGTCAGATGAAATTGATATAAAATAATCACCAACCGTCGAAATTCTTCTACAAATGAGTTCAAAATTGGCACCAAACAAGCGCTTGATCTTTTATTTACGTTCATTAGACTATATTTACATATTTGTTGTCACTCAAACTGGATATTTCTATTTATGGCAAGTGATTATTAGCATTCTATGAATGATGGAAGGGCAGTTAAGGGACTAGAAAGTAAAATATCTCAACAAGACTTGTTGTTCAACCACCTAATCTCAAGATCTCGATGGACTATAAGCATGAAGATGTTAACAAATCAAAATTTGCAGCTTCTAATATGACAGATGAATTGATTGTATCAGTATGCAATTAATTAAATTATTATTGATTAGGCTTAAATCAGATTTGTTTTTTTTTTCTTGTACACTGTTACTTGCCATTATTTGCAAAGAATTAGAAAGCCTGAGGTACACGCTAAGTTGATGGAAGTGACAGCTGACCAATCCCAAGGTCCCACTCTATGGTTTTTACCTTTACCTTTTATTTTATTTTATTTTTTGGAATTTTTTTGGACATATAGTCCCTATTTGATTACTATTATTTTGAGAAAATAAACTTTTGAAGAGTAATTTTTTGAAAAATATGTGGTTAAAAAATAGAGAAAAATATTTTATATTGTAAATGTGTGATTGAAAATGAATATGAAAATTAAAGAATTTTAAAATAATAATTGTCAAACAGGAGCTTAAGACTATTCATGTTCAGATTATATGGTAATTTCTAGTTCATAAGCAAGAATTAAGAAATTTTAAGATAAATTTTGGATTTTGTTTGTTTTAGTTTTGATTTATATATGTTTAGGTTGAGTTCATCAAAGGGAATAGAACTAGCATAATTTCAGTTTTGTCTAACGTACAAGTAAAATGTTTGATCATTATGCGAACTTATATTATCACAAATATGTTTTCTTTTTCGACGATGAGTTTTATGGTTAAAATTTCTGGACGATTAGTATTGACTTCAATTAACTCAACAATCTTACAAAATAACATGGGAGACGTAGAAGACAACCTACAAAAAAGTGGCGGAGAATTTCTCCCTTCTTATCTGATGCTCAAGTCACGAATATATGTACGATAATGAAATGTATAAACATAGAGTTACTGAATGTCAAATGTGATGGCTCTTTTTGGATGGAACTTAGATTCTACTTGAATTCATATATCTTTTGATAAGGATAGAGTATCCTTTCCTAGATGGCGACTATATATAGTAGCAATAGAACTTACTCAAAATATTGTAATTTCAATTAAGCTAGTTTGTAAAAAAAAAAAAATTTGCCGCATTTGTTGACATACGCTCACATGTGCGTGTGACCTACGTGGAATCCAGCGAATAAAAAATTTCAAACAAATGCTTCCCCTATTTGTGAGTGCTGTCAAGGAGGGTGCAAACCTTTCTGACAGTATAGTAAGATAATTGTAATTTTATCAAGATTGAGATTTTAATATCTCGAGACTCCACACCCTCTGTTGTAACATAGTCATATTGTTGTAATTTTATCAAGATTGAGATTTTAATATCTTGAGACTCAATCGGTGTAATTTTTGTCCACGCCAACTTTATGATTTCACTAATTCTTATAGTTTGCTTGGAACACTATTAATCTTAACAATTTTTATAGTAAAATTACAACGAGCAATTAGATTAGTCGAAGTTGAAGTAGGTTTTCTATCGGATGTATTCAATTTTCTATTAGATGGTTGCAAATAATAATAATAATAAATTTATTTTTGAAAAATAAAGTTCCGACAAGATGTAGATTCCTAGTGAAAAACTGTCTACATTCTAAGGCCAATGTGGGAGCAACTCATCGCTCACAACTTTCACCAGCAAATCTTAGGCCTAAACCTTGGAATATGCTCAGTTACAGCTGCTAAACGAGTTTAAGAAAACATTATTGAAGAACAAATATAAAAAATTACTGTTATTGAGAAATTTAAATTTAAAAAGGATAGTAAAATTCGATGATTTCATAGTACATATACTCGTCAAATTATATTGCTCCAAATGTATTGCTGATTTTTGATTGGAACACTGTATTTTGATGTGTGGTTCATAATTTATTATATCAAGAGACAGGAACTGAATAACCCATTCGCTAGTTTTGTAAGCTCCTGTTTCTCTCGTGATTTGTTCATGAGTTGAAAGTATTTCGTACTTCATCTCTCCTTTTATAGGACATTTCAAAATTGAAAGTAAATGCTTTCAAAAAATAAAAAAAATAAATAAATAAAATAAAAAAATAAAAAAAATCAAAATTAAAAAACTTCAACCATGAATTATTGGGGTTTGATGTCAACTCTTCATTTGGGCCGGTTCATAAGGTTCAAAACTAATTATTATTATTATTATTATACTAGGAGTTTGAAAGAGTCGTTTCGAGTAGAATTCGAGTTAAAAATAGCTCGAGCAAATATTTTAGATGAAGTGCTTTATTTGATATTATAACTATCAAATCATGCACTTAAATGGTCAATGGTTAAACGGTTGAATCAATGTTAAAATGATGGTAACCAAAATAACAATTTTTGTGATATCAATTTTTGTTTGAACCGACTTGTTCGTTGTGTGACCTAATCCATTCTTGATTTAAGTCGGTCATTTCTCATCTTGGTGTAACAATTTCTAAATTCTCGATATTTTGTATTTAACTTGACTGCGTTTTTTAGTCGAACTAGCTAGTCTAGCTCAATTTTGAGAATATTGATTTTATCTTGACATCAGAGTACGCAATATCTTGAGTTTAATTCTCGTATACCATTCAATTACGAAGTTTCACATGTTGGATATTAAATATAAGAGCAAATTACAAAATTTTAGCATGAGCCAACTCATGATAATAGAGATGTCTTTTTATTTTACTAGACTATAGAGACCTCTCATGAAATTTACTTTTCATTAAATATTCTCAAATTCAAATTTCATACTTGACCTGTTGCAATAAAGTTCAAACAAATCATGAAATATAATATAATTCTTAAAATAATATAGTTTTTCCAAGTATGAACAGTGAATGAACACACATAAGTTTGCAGAACATTTTAAAATAAATGAATTGAAAAATAAAAAAATGCAGTAAATGAACAAATCGAGCCACTGAGGTGAGTACCCGGTTGTAAACTTCAAGGCCCGTGGGATCAGTCGAGGTGTACGCAAGCTGGTCCGGATATCCACGGTTATAAATTTTTTTTTTTTTTTTTTTTGATAAAATCAGTTCATTCGCGATCTTATTATGAGATACGATAATATGAAATGAATATTATTTTCTGTCCTTTTCTAATATGCTAAAACTTTATTGCAAACTATATTTAATTAATTTTCTATTTGTTTATTTACAACACGTAGATTTTAGAAAATCAAATAATTATAATCATAATACAGAGAATGGAATAGAATATTCTTGTCATCATATCATCACTATATGCTAAAAGAGGAAAAAGAAAACCTTCTTTAAGTTAAAAACAAAGTT